TAACCAATAGAAACTACCAAACTACGGGAAGGGCCTGAGGTAGAGACTCAAATGGTCCTTAGGAGGCTAGTGAGGCATATCCCTGAGGGCAGGAGCTACATTGTTGAAGCCCCAGGGAGCCTTAGAATGTCTAGGGTGGGGGGTGAAGATGAAGGTCTCAGTTCAGCCAGTTCTCCCCTGCAGGCATGGTGGGCAGCAGCTGTGTGCGAGGGGCTACAACCACACAGCAACCAAGAGAAAGAAAAGGTGAGTGCCTGGCTGAGCTTGGCCCTCTGCTGGGGAGGGATGGGTGAACACTGTGGAGCTGGGAGAGAGAGGAGCAGAACCACTAATCCACCAGGCCTTCCTCTAGCCTTCCTCTCCCCTAATCTGTAGCTAAGCAGCCATGTCCGGATAGCTCTCTTCTCTCTCCCCAAAACCTCTCACTTGCCCCTCTTCCCTGCATGTTCTTGTGTGAACCCAGGGCTTCAAAATGATGTTATGCCCCTGGCTTACACAGAGCTCCCCTTCTTAATTTTATTTATTTATAGACAGAGTCTCACTATGTAGTCCTGGCTGTCCAGAAACTCACTCTGTAGATCATGCTGGCCTCGTTTTCACAGAAATCCACCTGCCTCTTTCTCCCAAATCCTAGGATTAAAAGTGCCACACCAAGCTTTTTAATATACCTACATTTTAAAGGTAACATTTATTTATTTGGTGGGTGTGTCTATATGTCTATATGGGCATGTATGCTTCATGGCATGAGTGTGGAGGCAGAAGATAACTTTTGGGAGGCAGTCCTCTTTCCCACTATGTGGGTCCTGGGGCCGGATCAAGTCTTCAAGCTTGGTGACAAGTACCTTTAGCCAATGAGCCATCTCAACATCTTCCAGCCCTTCCCTTTCATTCCTACCTGAGTCGGGATCTCCCTATGCTACCCAAGCTAATCTTCAACTCGTCATGTAGCCCAGGTTGGTCTTGAACTCTCCAGCTTCCTTCCTCAGCTTCCTGTGCGGCTGGGATTATAGGTACGAACCACCTGGTCAGGCTCATTTTCAGTTCAGAGTCTAGTGGCAGCTTCCGCTGTTCCTGAGAAGCCGTCTGGACCGCTGTGGTGGAGGGCGACAGGAGGATAGACTTGAGGTTTAGCTGGTTCTTGGAGTTTGAACAAAGGGAGGAGGCCAGGCCAACTTCTATCCGCCTGGAGAGTGACTCTTCCTCCAAGGCTCCAGCCCTTGGGCCCAGCTTCCTCTTTCAGGGAGTCCTTAAACCGCTTAAACCCTTTGGTTAGAAAGGTTCTAGAAGGGAAGAGGACACCGGGGAGACAGCCTGGACCCCTTTTCCCCCTCCTTACTAGGACAGTGCATGTGTGTGTGTGTGTGTCTGTGTATTTGTGTGTGCAGTCTTAGCCTCTGCACAGCTGCGAGTATAGCGCTCAGTGTCTTCCGCCCCCGGGAAGATAGACTTTCTGGTCAGTCCCTGGGGTGTTCGGGCGGGGCTGGTCACATTTATTTCTGCAGGAAACGGCCGTAATTCTTTCTCTTCTACACCGCCAGACTGGAGAACGGGTGGTGGCCATCCTTGGGAGTCTCAGAGGGGGGCTACGGAGCACACCCTGGGCTTCTTGCCCACTAGCCTGGCAATTGAAAGGGGGGTTGGTTCTCAATAATGAACCCCAAGAAGGGCCAGATGATCAGGGCAGCCCAGAGGCGTCTGAGGGAGGGTGACCCAGCGGTTAGGCTTTGGTTCAAATTGGCCCCACAGGGACAATCACTCTGAAGAGTAGAGTCCCAGCAGCTTTTAAAAGGGAACCACTGTAAGATTCTTCCCAGAGCGCCCCCAGCTGGACCAATCGGATGCTGAGGATGCACCCTGGGATTGAAAACGAGCCAATCAGGTTCCAGGCTGCTTCGGCCTGAAGACCTGGCTCTGTAAAAAAGGCTGTGGCCTGGGCCAAACTGGCCTGGGACCGGCTGCGACGAGCTGAGGGCATTGGGGCACCCGGGGCTCTGTCCAGGCAGGGGAAACAAGGGGCCTCTGTGTGAAGATCAGGGTGGGGCAGCTGTCCCCGAGGACACGTACAAGCTCTTCTCTGTTCCCAAAGTAGGACGGATGTCCCCTCGCTTAGGGGGTGGGGAGCAGCTGTGTCTGTAAACCCCCTTCAGAGGCCAGGGTGTCCCACCGAGGGGGCATCCGGGAAAGGAGATGTCTGGGCGACCCCGGAAGACCCCCATCATCCTCAGAGCTCACTAGGAACCGGCTCTACCAGCCAGCTTCTGGAACGGTGCTCTTTCTGGGAAACACGTGGCCCTTGTCAGGCCTCTTTCCAAGCCTAGACTTGGGAGAGTTCTTAGCATGTGGCCCCTCCCTGTAACCAAGGAAGGGAGCCTTCTCTGTACATTGAGCCAGCCCCTCCTAGATTCCCCCTACCCCTCTGTAGCTGACCATGGTGTGCTCAGCATCTCATGTTCTCTGCCCACACAGGTCCCCTCCCCTATCCCTTCCCCGGCTCAGCTCAATTTTCCTTGCAGAGGAGGGGTGGGTGACTCAGACTTTCATGGAAACAAATTTCTAACCCCCCTCCTGGCCCCTCTGCACAGGCTGCTGCGGGGCGGGGGTGGGGGCGCTTCACAGTTCACGTGACTTCAGCAGCTGCCTCATCTTCTTAGCCAGGACCTCCGAGACCCTCCTCATTCTCTCCATTCCCACCCCCAGACTTGTCCACAGCGGATATGACGGGCTCCTCACTGTTTGTTCCCGAGGCTTGACACATCTGGATTGCATCTTGGCACTGGAGGGGGTGCCAGCGCTCTGCCCACCCCCCTGGGACCTAGTGTCCTTGGGTAGTGTGAGTTGGGGATGGGAACCGGCTGTTGGAGTGGGGCTTTTCCGTGGGGGGGCGGGGGCTAAGTCAGCATCCCTTTTCAGAATATCGAGTAGATGGAGGCAGCCCCAAAGCTTGTGTGTGCTGGGAAAGGGGCCGCTGAAGACATTAGCTAAAGCTTGTATGATATTTCCTGTGCTCTCTGTATGTGTTGTGTGTGTAGGTACATGTACACGTGTGTGCACACATGGGGTGGGGGCATAGGACGAGTTAACCTATTGCTCCTCAGATTACATTCCACCCTGTTTTCTTTGTTTTTGAGAGAGATATCTCAATGGCTTGAAACTCCAGGTAGATGATTAGGCTGAATGACCAACCAGTGGACCCCGGGGATCTTCCTGTCTGCTTGCCCAGTGCTGGGGTTACATGTCTGAGCCATCACCCTTGGGTTTTTTTTGTTTTGTTTTGTTTTGTTTTTGGTAGGTGCTGGAGTTTGGACTCAGATCCTCATTCTTCAAGGCAAGCACTCTACCTACTGAGCCATCTCTTCAGTCCCTGCATGTATATTTTCCTTTTCTTTTTAAATTTTTTTTTTCTTTGAGCTTTCAGGGGGATCCACTTGTCCTCATGCTGTCTTTACTCAATGTGGCGATCAAGCTCAGGTCTTCATGGTAGACGGCATGCGCCGCTTTACCCGCCAAGCTGTCTCCCCAGCCCCTGTGCAACTTTCAATTTTTTTTCTCCTTCCTTTTTTACCCTTCTTGCCTTTTCTTTTTAAAGTTTCTTATGTTTATTATTATGGGGGGGCATAATGTATATGTGTGTGGGCACGCCCATGCCGCAGGCACCCAAGGTGGAGGTCAGAGGATAATTTTGGGGAGTCAGTTATCTTCTTCTTCTACCATGACTTTGGGGAATCCAGCTTAGGGCGTCAGGTTTGCTCAGCAAGTGTCTCTACCCGTTCAGCCATTTCTCATGTAACCAGAGTCCTGTCTGCCCTTGCTCTTGCCCAGGCTGGTTGTGAACTCTTGGGCTCTAGCCATCCCCTCACCTCAGCCCCTAGGTGCTGTGATTACAGGTGCACATCACCACCCAGGTCTCACACACCCTTGAAAAGGATTTCCCCGTCCCTTATGAAAGGGTCCTTTTGGTATCCATTATTGAGATGTAGAGATCAAGAGGCTGAGCCTTCAGCTGAGCTGGAGTAGGAACAGCTGAATTCTGTCTTGCCATTAGAGTCTATGTCCTTCAAGATAGTGCAGCTCTGGGAGGCTTGGACTTCAGGGCCGTCCTGGTGTCTCCCCAGGTCCTTATCTTTGGGTGTGCCCATGGCTTCAAGGCTTAGAGCCATCCTGGAGTCAGGCAGTGGGTGGTAATGGCCAGGGATTGGTGCTGCCGGTAGTAAGAATCTCGCTGACCCAGGTCAGTAGGTGGCAAGAAGCCTGAGGCGCCTGTGTGTAGGACAGAAGTGACAAGCTGCCCAAGCCCTACCTCAGGCTTGCTCTATAGAAGGCAGAGAGGTTGCTAGAAGTCCCCAGAATCTTCTATCAGTTCCTTTCTTTCTTCTTGAGAAATATACCCCAGTCTTGTAATATAACCCAGGTTGGCTGCCTCTGCCTTCTGAGCGCACTACTATGCCTGACTTTTTAAAAAGTTTTTAAAATAAGTTTTTATTAATTTAAATAAAAACTTATATCATTTTCCCCCTTCCCATCATCCCTCCAACCCTTCCCTTGCAACCACTTCTTCTCTTTCAAATTCATGTCTCTCTCTCTCTCTCTCTCTATATATATATATATATATATATATTCCTAAATATATAAACACAGCCTGTTCAGTCCAGATAATGTTACTTGTATGAATATGATTTCAGGCTGTACACAGTGGCACATGCCTTTAATCCAGCACTTGGGAGGCAGAGGCAGGTGAATCTTTGAATTCAAGGCTAACCTGGTCCAGGGCAGTCAGGGCTACACAGAGAAACCCTGTCTCGAAAACAACAACAAAACACACACAAAGAAAAAGAAAAAATGAACTAATTTCTCTAAGCATTCTGTCTGTCACATGGTGGCGGGGGACAGTAATGAATGCAGCTTTCCTGGCATCACTGTGAGGACTCGGCTAGACCCTGAGCCTCTGTAGTCCAGGCCACAGCTCTAACCTGTTGTCCCTTTTCTGTCCCTCTTCTCTGCAGCTCTCATCCCCATGGCCCCAGCCGGCCACTGAGCCCCACCATGGGTGGCTTATACTCAGAGTACCTCAATTCTGAGAAGGTTGTGGAACACTACAATTACACCAAAGAGACGCTGGACATGCAGGAGACATCCTCCCGCAAGGTGGCCTCGGCCTTCATCATCCTCCTGTGCTGTGCCATCGTGGTGGAGAACCTTCTGGTCCTGATTGCAGTGGCAAGGAACAGCAAGTTACACTCAGCAATGTACCTGTTTCTTGGCAACCTGGCAGCCTCCGACCTGCTGGCAGGTGTGGCCTTCGTGGCCAACACCTTGCTCTCGGGTCCTGTCACTCTGTCACTGACTCCTTTGCAGTGGTTCGCCCGAGAGGGTTCAGCCTTCATCACTCTCTCTGCCTCGGTCTTCAGCCTCCTGGCTATTGCTATCGAGAGACACGTGGCCATCGCCAAGGTCAAGCTTTATGGCAGTGACAAAAGCTGTCGAATGTTGATGCTCATTGGAGCCTCTTGGCTGATGTCACTGATTCTGGGTGGCTTGCCCATCCTGGGCTGGAATTGTCTAGACCATCTGGAGGACTGCTCCACTGTCCTGCCTCTCTATGCCAAGCAGTATGTGCTCTGTGTGGTCACCATCTTTTCTGTCATCTTATTGGCTATCGTGGCACTGTATGTTCGAATCTACTTTGTCGTCCGCTCCAGCCATGCCGATATTGCTGGTCCCCAGACGCTGGCCCTGCTCAAGACGGTCACCATCGTACTAGGTGTTTTCATCATCTGCTGGCTCCCAGCTTTTAGCATCCTCCTCTTAGACTTCACCTGTCCCGTCCGGGCCTGCCCTGTCCTCTACAAAGCCCATTACTTTTTTGCCTTTGCCACCCTCAACTCACTACTCAACCCTGTCATCTATACATGGTGTAGCCGGGACCTTCGGAGGGAGGTGCTGAGGCCCCTGCAGTGCTGGCGGCGGGGGAAGGGGGTGACAGGTCGTCGAGGTGGGACCCCAGGCCACCGGCTCCTGCCCCTCCGCAGCTCCAGCTCACTGGAGAGGGGCTTGCATATGCCTACATCACCCACGTTTCTGGAGGGCAACACGGTGGTCTGAAGGGAAGGGGTGAACTGACAGATATAACCAAGCTACAGAGAGCTCTGTGAGGAGAGACCAGGTGACCTCATGTGTCCCTCAGCGCCACAGGCCTAGCGGAACTGACCACGGCTCACAGATCAGGTGGCCAACGGAGGCGCTGACTAAACAGATTGCAGCACCGTGACTGGGGACTGTTAAGGGTCTCGCGGGACAGCAGGCTGAATTAGGGCTGGAGCATTTGCATTTGGTACAAAGGGTGTCAGCATCCTGTCCTACCTTCCAGCTACCTGGCTCTCTTCCTGCCTCCTTCTTTTCAAATAGGGCCTCTCCATGTTACCCTGGTTGGCCTAGAACTTGCTATGCAATCCAGGCTGGCCTGGAACTCAGAGAGGTCACCCATTTCTGCCTTCTGAGTGCTGGGATTTTAAAGCCATGTACCACCACACCCAGCTCCAGCCACCTTCCATAGATAACCTTAGGCCACTTCTTGTGGAAACACTGTCCCCAGGGGACCCAAGGCTTCCTCCCTGTCTATCTGAGGTCTAAATCCACAGCTTCCCCAATTTCATCAACTCAGTTGTCTCTTCCCTTTCCTTTCATGTTCGGGGAAAGGAAACCACTGTGGTGGCCGGGGGGAGGAGCCTGGAATCCCAGCCTCCATCCTCAGACCTTCCTGGCTACTTGCTCTGTTGGAGTACACAGAGGGATCTGATCAGTTGAGGGCTGGGGAAATCAATGTGGGGCAGGAGGTTTTGGTCTTCAAGTGAGAAAACTCTAGGGGACGTATTGGTCATTCTTGGAACTCTTATCCCCAAATCTAGCCTTCCTCCCCACAAACTATTCCCATCTCCCCACTTTCTTCCTACCCCATGTACCAGGTCCCTTAAGGCAGGGCAGCCTTGAACCAATGTGGCCACTTGTAAATTGTCTTTGTTATTTTAAAAATTGTGACAGGGTTTCATATAGCCCAGGCTGGCCTTCAATTTGCTATGTAGCCAAGGCTTTGGACTTCTGATCCTCCTGCCTCTACTTCCTGAATGCTGGAATCACAGGGGTGCACCACCAACACCTGTCTTGCAAGTTATCATGAATAACATAGTTAACAGAGACTGTGTGTGAGGTGGCCAAGGACGTTCCCGAGTACTCATATGTAACCTTCCCTTGAAGGACTTTGCTAAATCCTGTGGAGAAATAGAAAGTCATACGGTACAAACTGTATTTATATATGTCTGTGTGCCAGTGTGTGGGGTCTGTGACCTATCCCAGTGTGGGTGCTGTCTGACATCTCTTGTTCATATCCAAGTTGAAACTGTCGGAGAGATAGGGGTGGGGGTGTCTGGCCATGCACAGGCTCCTTGGGGATTGCTGGTTCATCTCTTCCACACATAGAAATCTCTGCCTCAAAGAAATCTGTGAAAGAAAAGGCTGAGGAAGGGGAAATTTGGGATGCAAGGAGCCAGTTGGGAGTGTCTCCCCTCATTTGGTTTCCCAAGTATCCCCCTTGTGCTGGAGATCTGGGCCAATAAACAGTTCAATTGCTCTTGCTGCTTACAGTTAATGGGTTTTGTGTGTGTGTGTGTGTGTGTGTGTGTGAGAGAGAGAGAGAGAGAGAGAGAGAGAGAGAATCATTTCTTCCTATCGGTGTCCTTGGTCTGGTAAGGGCATCAACTGCCAAGGCACCTCAGCCTCTTCCATTATCCCAACCCTTAGCTCTGGCTGAGCTGGACCTGTACTCAGTAACTTCTGAGAACTCAGGAACCAGCCTTGATCTTTTCCCTGGGGCTGTTTGGGAGGTTGTCTTGCTCCTCACAGTGATTCATTAGGCCTAGGGCCTCCATGGTTTCCTTCAAAAGCACACCTTAGCAGGTGAGATGGGGCTGTTCTCCCTTCCCAGTCTGTGCACAGCCTGCGGAATTGGAGAGGTGGTTTCGGAGCCCAGCCACTCCTACTTCCCAAGTCCTGACTGACCACCACCGCCACCTCACCTCTTTCTTCTCCTTCTTTTGATTTTTTAAGATAGGGTTTCTCTGTGTAGCGGCTCCGACTGTCCTCTGGAACTCGCTCTGTAGCTGGCCTCCAGCTCACAGAGATCCACCTGCCTCTGCCTCCTGAGTGCTGGGATAAAGGTGTGCACCACTCAACACTTCTTTTTATTTATAAGATTTATTTTATTTTAAATTGTGTGTGTGCGTGTGTTTGTGGAGATTATTGGTATTTAAATGTGCATGCAGTGCCTGAGCAGGCCAGGAAAATTGGATGTTCTAGCGCTCTAATTGCAGGTGGTTGTAATCGGCCTGTTGTGGATGCTGGGAACAGAACATAGGTCCTCTAGAAGAGCAGGAAGTGTGCTTCACCTTGGAGCCATCTCTTCAGCCCCTTTCATTCCTCCCTCCCCTGCTACTAGGGATGTTAAGCCTGTTGGCCAAGCAGTCTACCACTGTGATGTGTGTGTGTGTGTGTGTGTGTGTGTGTGTGTGTGTGTTGTTTATTATTTTGTTTTGTTTTCAAGACAGGTTTTCTCTGTAGCTTTAGAGCCTATCCTGGAACTAGCTCTTGTAGACCAGGCTGGCCTTGAACCACAGAGATCCACCTGACTCTGCCTCCCGAGTGCCAAGACCGGGTCTTATGTAGCTCAGGCTGGCCTTAAATTCACTACACAAAAGCTGAGGTTGACCTTGAAATTTTGATCCTCTTGCCTCTACCTCCCAAGCTGGAGTTACACCACAAACCTGGTTTATGCTTTACTAAGGATGGAACCCAGGGCTTCCCACATGGTAAGCATTGCTCCATGAGCTGTGTCCACTGCAGCCTCAACCATCTAGTTCTTTGTGTGTGTGGTTTTTTTTTTTTTTCCGTTTGTCTTTTGTTTTTTTCTGTTTCTCTAAATGGCTCAGGGGATGATCTTTCCTCCACCGCCAGAGGCACGGCTCTCTAAGGCTGGATCTGGGGCTGAGGTGAGGCTCAGCGGCTGCTCCTGAGTTTGCATCTCTAGGACCCTCATGGTAATAAGGGCCAGGTGGGCTTGGAAGCTGCCTCTAATCTCTAGTAGAGGCAGACAGTTTCGGGGGTGGGGGTGGGGAACCAAGCTAGCTAATCCAGACCAGCCTAGCCTGTGAGCTCTAAATTGTGATAGGGACCTGGTTTGAGTAAATAGGAGAGGGATAGAGGAAGACACCCCAAGTCAACCTCTGGCCTCTACACACTCACCTGCACCTGTGAACTCAGGTGTATGCAGACACACACACACACACACACACACACACACACACACACAAAAGCGGGGGGGGATCTAAATTAGATGTGGTCAGTCACACCTAGAATCCCTGCACTGGGAAGATGAAGGCAGGAGAATTTGGAGTTCGAGCCCATCCCAGACTGCATACCGAGTTCCAGGCTCACCTGAGTTACATACCAAGATCCTGTTTAAAACGTGCATGTGTGTGTGTGTGTGTGTGTGTGTGTGTCCACTTCAGCAGCACATGTACTAAGACTGGAACAATAAAGAGATTAGCATGGCTCCTGCTTGAGGATGACAGGAACGTTTATAAAGTGTTCTGTGTTTTCAAGATAGTTCAAGGAAGAAACAAAGACCAAGGCGGGCTGGTGAACTTGCTCAGTAGGTAAGGGCCTTGCTGCCATCCTTGGGGCCCGACGGTGGAAGGAGAGAACCAACTCCTGCAAGTTGTCCTCTGACCTGCACGTGAGCACTTTGGCACAGGCATGTGCACACAGAAAGGCCTTTAACACAGCTCCAGTCCCAGACAGGGTTGAAGTTGCCCAACAGTGGTCATCTCTAAATTGTCCTGAGAGGCGAAATTCCAGTGGGCTGCAGGCCTGTGGCCTCTGTCCTCCTGCAGATTTGTCTAGCCTTCTGACATTGCGACAGACAGTTGCCGGAGTTCATGAACTAGAACCAAGCCAACAACTTGTTAAAAAATGCAAAATAAAACAGGCGGCCAAAGGCTGGGCGGTGGAGGCGCACGCCTTTAATCCCAGCACTTGGGAGGCAGAGGCACGCGGATCTCTGTGAGTTCGAGACCGGCCTGGTCTACAAAAAAGCTACAGAGAAACCCTGTCTCAAAAAACAAAACAAAACAAAAAAAACAAAAAACAGGCGGCCGAAGCATATACCTTTTATCCCAGCACTTGGGGGTGAGCAGAGAGGCAGGTGGATCTCAAGAATTCCAGGTCAGCATGGTCTACAGAATGAGTTCCAGGACAGTCAGGGCTACTCAGAGAAACCCTGTCTCAAAAATCCAAACAGAAAGAAAAAGAAAATATGTTTTAAGTAAGTTTCTGATATTGAAAATTTTTTCTTTTTAAAACTTTTTTTCTTTTTCTTTTTTTTTTTTTTTTGGTGTGTTTGAAAGAGCATATGAATGTAGCTGCCTAGGAGGCCAGAGATAACAGTTTGTGTGGGAGCTGGGGTTATAGGTGGTTGTGAGTTGCCTGAGGTGGGTGCTGGGAATTGAGCCCATGTCCTTTGCAAGAGCAGCAAGTGCTCTTAACCACTGAGCCATCTCTTCAGGTCTGTTGCTGATTTTGCATAGGTCTACATTTGTAGCTATCTTGAGATGCATGCACCCTGCAGGTTGTACATGTCTGTCCTGTCTTTCCTTCCACTGGCTGCATTTGTGTCCTGGGTGGATCTCTAGCCTCCAGCTAGAAGCCTTGTTAAAGACCTCTCTCTCTCTCTCTCTCTCTCTCTCTCTCTCTCTCCCTCCCTCCCTCCCTCTCTCTCTCTCTCTCTCTCTCTCTCTCTCTCGTGCTTGGAATCAAGCCCAGGGCTTTGCACTTAGTACACACACGTACACACACACAGTGTGAGTTTACTATACTGAACTGAAATGTGCGGTGTAGTCTGAAATTTCTCCCCAGATCCACATGTGCTCTCTATTTAGGCCCGGATCAAATGCCACCTCCACAGAGAAGCCGTCCCTGAACACACCTGATTCCCTTCCTTACCCTCCTCTGCTTGTCTCTCCCATTAGAACAGGAGCAGCTGGGGTGGAGAGGTGGCTCAGCAAAGTGCTTGCTATTCAAGCAGCAGGATCTGAGTCTGCACCCCTAGCCAGCCGTGTGTGATGGCACACCTAGCCAGCCGTGATACTCCATCCCCAGCACTGTGTATACAGGCCATGGTGGCCTCTAGTTGCAGAACTCAGGTTGTGGCAGCAAGAAGATCAGATGGTCAAGGCCAACATCAGCTACTTAGGAAGAATTTAGATCCAGAAGGTCTGAGTTGACCCACAAACATGCTTTCACCAAACATTCCAAATAATTTTAAAGGAGAACCAGAAGAGGGCTGATTCAGTGACCAAGAGCACCGACTGCTCTTCCAGAGGACCCGGATTTTGATTACCAACACCTCTATGACTCACAACTGCCTGTTGCTCCGGTCGCAGGGGATCGAAAACCCTCTTCTAGCCACCATGGGCACCAGTCACCTACATGGTTCACAGACGTGTGTGCAGGTGAAACACCTATACATATGAAAACAAACACATCAACCCAGCAGGGGTGGCCCACGCCTGTAGTCCCAACCCTCAGGAGGCAGAAGCAGGTTAATTTTTGTGAGTTCAAGGCCAGCCTGGTCTACAGAGCTAGTTCTAGGACAACACAGAGAAACCCTGCCTAGGGAACACACATTCCAGGGATATGGCTCAGTAGGTAAAGGTGATTGGCATGAATCCCAAGACCCACATGGTGGAATGAGAGAACAGATTTCCATGAGCTGTCCTCTGACTTTATTAACATGCTTGCTCCTGAGCACACACAAACCGAATAAATAATGTTATACATTTAGAAAGTCACTTTTTTTTTTTCCTGAGACAGGGTTTCTCTAGTAGTCCTGGCTGTCCTGGAACTCACTCTGTAGACCAGGCTGGCCTTGAATTCTCAGAGATCCATCTGCCTCTGCCTCCCGAGTGCTGAGATTAAAGGCTACTACCATCTAAAACCATAGATTTTTAATTTTAAAAATGTATGACTTTGCCAGACATGGTGGTACATGATAGAAAAAGTATCTAACCATAATAGCCACTCCCGTAACTGATCTTGGGCTGGGCTCCAATTCCATAGCACAGCTCTCCCTGAGCACACACAAGGCCCAAGGGCCCATCGCTAGCACGAGGTGGCAGGGTGTAGGGAGGGCTTCAGAGGAGCTAGTTTTGGTTCCTAGTACCCACATGATAGTTCACAACCATTTGTAACTCTAGTTCTAGGGAATCTGGCACCTTCTGCCTTCCATAAGCACCAGGCATGTACATGATACATATGCTGCAAAGCACTCATATACATAAAATAACAAATACAAGCATTCTTTAGTCCTGAGCAATGTGGTTCAAGGATCCTTAAAGTGTGGTTAGTACAAAGCGAAGGTTGAATTTTAAATTGCAATTAACTTTTTAAATTTCTTTTTTGAAACAGACTATTATTCTGTAGCCCACGCTAGCTGAAAACTTACTATGTATCCCAGGTTGGTCTCAAACTCCCAGAAATCCTCCTGTATCGGCCTCCCAAGTACTGAGATTACAAGTG